GCACAAAGTAGACTTTGATTCCACTAGTAAAACTGTCCAGCCTTTTGTTGCGAACAGACGCTTTGAATTTCGGAGTTCGAAGCCGGTTTGAATAAAAGTTTTATAAAGCCACGTGGAGGATTGTTATTTAACCCGTTTCTAATATCGTCTGCCAAAAAATCTGGCGAAGGAACTGTCTCGAGGAGAAAGCATTTAAAGAAGACTAAGCGTTTTTTAAAGTCGACAATTTTTCAGATACGAATTTCCGTCGTTCAAGTGTCTCGGTAGACTTATGCATGAGGGTGTACCCGCGCAGGGCTATTCATATGCAAACGATGGTAACAATTAATTTATTCATGCATCACAGACACGCATATCCAGTTACCAATAATAATTATTAATGCGTCGCATCGCTTTTCCGTTGCAGGTGAATCGGACGGCGTCGCTGCTACTTTGCCTAAATATTCCACTCGCGACGATTCACAACGATAAGTACTCGTTAAATTTTATAATATACATATATGTGGACCGATATGAAATGACAAAAATTTCCTGTTTCCAAATCTTTCATTACAACATAAATGTTACGGATAGGCGGCCCTAACGCGGTTCGGCCGATGAAGAACTGGTGATTAAATTAACGAATCAATTGTGGAAAAAAAATACCTGATTTATCCCGAAATAATTTATCGGCCAGGCTAAGACCTGGAAAACTGACTCCTCCTTCACGTACGTCCTCTCGATGGATCCCTGAAGACAGCCGTCTATCGAATATCCTGGATATACGAATGATCACGGTATATCCTCCACCTGGTAGGGATGCACTTCAGAGACACTTTATTAATCGCACTGTATTCCGCCACGGTTTAACGTGGACTCCTTGAATTCGTTAACAGTCGAACTGTCCTTCACCTCGGTCGTCGCGAGGTGGGGAATTGCGAGTTATCTCCGTCTCGCTCGTACCCCGGTGACACGTCACGCGCGCGTCTTCGTACTCTGTCGCGCTCTGCCCGATTCGAACTTTTTCCGGTCGCAAAATCAAAACATCGCGACCGTTTAAAATATAATATATATATAAATATTATATAATTTATTAATAAATAATAAATAGAAGGCTGTGCTATCGGTTACCGGGCTTGGCCGATCATTGTCACAGCACCGCTGGTCAAAAGTGCCCTTGAGCAAAATGAACCGCAGTTTGCGAAATTCGATAGCTTACAAAAAGAAATATTCAGTCCAATTTTTAGCTCCAAATTGTAGCAGTTCCTATTTTTTATTTTAAATCGAGAAATCAATTTTTTTCCTTTTTCCTTATTTAACATCGTGCGAAAAATGTGAAAAAGTTCTAACACGTCCGTAGCGTAAGTTGAAACAGCGAGACTACCGAAAAAAATGGTCGGCGTTGAAAAACATCGTGGATTCGCCCTCGTGGAGTATTACACCAAGACCGAAGCAAAGGTATTTGATAAAATTTTAGTTACCACATTATCATTTAATCGTTCGTTGTTTCGTTTACAGAAAGCATTTAAAGCCCTCTGTCAATGTACTCACTTGTACGGTCGAAGGCTGGTCTTGGAATGGGCTCAAGCCGAAGAGGGCGTGGAGCATATCAGAAAGCGAACCGCGAAACACTTTTACCAAGGTATGTACTGTATGTGAATAATGATTTGTAGATTACGAATGTTTTAAAAATGTGCTTCAGATAAACAATAATTGAATATATAATAGATTTGCAATTTATGAATACGAAATCGTTCTTTTTCCAATTACAGACGAATCAGCTAAGAAGAGCAAGAAGGCTACATTGAACCCTGAAGACGTTGGCTTGGAGGAAGTATTATAAGATTTTGAGGATCCAGTGCCGGGATTGCAAATAATGAATCAACACCTGTAAGTACGTCGATAATACAATCTTTATTCCCTCACTGCTTTACACGTACAATTCTAAGACCAATTTTAATTTTTACAGAAGCATATGCAGAGAATCTAGTATCGGGAAGGAGCAATAATGAATCAACACCTGTAAGTATGTCGATAACACAAGCTTTATTCTTTCATTACTCTCTCATTATAATTGTAAAATCGCTTTTAATTTTTACAGGAGTATATTCAGAGGATCCAATCTTAGGAAGGAGGAATAATGCATCAACACCTGTAAGTATGTCGATAATACAAGCTTTGTTTCCTCATTACTTTACATGTACGATTCTGAGACCGTTTCCAACTTTGACAGATGCATATGCAGAGGATCCGGTATCGGGAAAGAGGAATAATGAATCAACACCTGTATGTCGTAATACAAGATTTATTATCTCACTGCTCTACACATACAATTCTAAAACCGTTTTTTATTCTGTATAAAGGCATATGCGGAGGATCCGGTGTCGGGAAAGAGGAATAATGAATCAACACCTGTAAGTATGTCGCAATACAAGATTTATTATCTCACTGCTCTACACGTACAATTCTAAAACCGGTTTTTATTCTGTACAAAGGCATATGCGGAAGATCCAGCGTCGGAAAAGAGGAAGAATGAATCATCACGCGCGCGGACTTTAGGCGATTCGCTGATCGATTCCGTGATCGGTTCAGAAGATGAGATTTCTGAGACGGTATCTACTGCCTATGGAGTCGTACTCCTAAATCGCTGAATGTTAACGTATCTAGAAAATTTAGGAAATGTTATTCATGAATCAGTATTTCCACTCAAAGATACAACGAAAATAGGTAATTTATGTAAAAATGTGAACCTGGATTTAGTCGTTTGCGAATTATCTTCGTTCGCCGGTGGACGAGATTCCTGATTCTTTGTATCCTCGGAATTCGTTTCGTTTGTCCTGTAATGAATAATTTTGCAAATAAAGAGGCAATGCAAATATTAATACAAATACTCTTTACTTCAAAGGTGCACGACAGTGAAAGTAGAACAGTCGTCTCCTCCTCATTTTTATTCTTCTCCTCCAGGTTGTTATCATCTCTGTAGAAGTCGTTATAGCTATATATGTTTCGCAACGAAAAAAATAGGAATCCTTTACTTACTTTGATGTTGTGGGACGTGCGCGTCTGATGTTAATATAATTAGGCGTTGCCCTCTGAGTCGAACTAGTTAAGAAAGGATTGCTGACAGTCCGTTCTTTCGAAGAAGCAACGTCCGCGTTATCTTCTTCGATCTCTTCCTCTCCTTCCTCATCTCTGATCAACGGTTTCTCCGTGGAGGGTCTAATTTAACACAAATAGGTGAAAGTAAAATCAGTTTCACAGATAATCGAAGTATACAGAATTTAAATATCGAATAACAATAAATTATTCTATTTCTACTTTTAAAGGACTTGGTAGATTTCTAAAAACATTTTGCCAAGAGTAACAGAAAGAAATATCGTACTTAGGCCTCTCTATGGTAACGTATTGCGGTTTCTGCGAGCGATGAAGGCTCTTCACTTCGGGAACATCATCTAAGCCTTCGAATTGCGCACCACCGGGCCTATTCCCATTCGTAGACGCTTGCTCGTTGTTCGTTTCCTTCCCAGCCTCTGCCGACTTAAAACGCGTTCATAAAGAGTACGACTGATCGTAGCCGGAGTAGCGTTCTTGTTGTTTGAACTCGTCGCGTCCACTGAACTTTTACTTTGAAACAGCAGCTGTTTTTCTAATTGCTCGATGCCGCCCGCTTTCTTGATTAATTGGATCAACTCCTTGATCACCCCGTGGTCCTCCTCGTCCTCGATGTGAGGCACTCTTTCCGGATCGCTTCTTCGAGACGTCGAAGGTACCTCCGTGGTTGTGGTGGTCGTCGTAGTCGTAGGTTTGTTCCTTGTGATAGTCTTATAGAGGAGCGGTTTCGGAATGGTGGTTGGCTTGGGTTCTTCCTTCTCCTCTTCCTCGAGCTCTTTGTCATCCTTCTCGTACTCGTGCTCCCCTTCCTCTTCCGGCTTCTCGGTGGTCTGTTGACGAGTGGTACTGTAGAGGAACGTTGTACGAGTCGTGCTGCGAGCTCTGATCGTCGAGCTTGACGATGATGGCTTAGATTTAGGGCAGATCACGTTGCGTGGGTACTCGCATGAATCTGCGCCCTTGTTGAACACTAAGCCTGTAAAGGGTGACGAGAATGCGTTTAGAGATACAAATAGAAAAGGGGTTCCTAATCGTTAATGCCGATTTACCGGAAGGGCACGTGAATTGATGTGCCACCACGCCTAGACCTCCGGGTCCGCTGTCCAAACACCAGAAATACTTCTTGCAATCCCGTGGATATGAGAAGAATCCTTCATCCTCGCACTTGAAATCTGTGTCAAAGTATGAATCGCAATTGATGAAATGGTTCAGAATAACAGAAGGCAGAGATAAAGAATTTTCCACGAGTTTAACTCACCTGTCCCAGGGTCAGGTGTCGTAGGAGGTTCCGGAGTAGTCAATATATTCCTCAATGATTCTTCACTTGATTCATTTTTATCCTCTTCCTTCCGGGGAATTTGTTTCCCCCGATTCCGATTAGAACCGATCCGGGTCTTCGGTCTGGCACCTTTGCCATCCGATGTCTCGCTCTTATCGGTGGCTCGAACCGCGTTCCCACCTTGGGTATCAGCCTCCTCCTGATTGTACGATGGTCTGTCGACTCTCTGTTCCTCCTCCTCGTCCTCGACGCCCGGTCTTGGCCTCGAAAACGAATTTCGAAACTTTGGTTTTGCAGTAATAATTCGTTTCGGAGCTGATGCCACGGTCGTGGAATGGCCGCCGATCACCTTCCTTCCTATGGCGTTGTTCTTAATTCGCTGTTTCTTGCGAGACTCCTCAGAGCTTGTTTTGGCATTCTTAGTTTAAAGAAAAAGTTTAAGTAATGTAGTTTTTACATTTTATACGAAGGTATAAAACCACGATCAAATCATTTTTAGAAAATAGAATTTTATTAGATGATCTTACGCTAGTAGAGCTTCCTTGGCAGCTGCAATCAGGGGGTACGGACGATCGTGGCATTTGCCTCGGAAATCGTCATTGTTAATCGTCCAGAACACAAGTCCTCCAAGATTTTTCTCATTCGCGTATTTGGCTTTCAACTTAATGATACCCTCGTCGTCGTAGCCCACCCACTGGTCTCCCTTGAACGCGTAGGGGCCCACGACTTTCGAGTTCGGCTGAACTACCTCACATTCGTCCGACTGCTCAAACGCTCCCAGATCAAGCTAAATATCATTTAATATTATATTAATCGATCGTAATAATAGATGACAAAGTTAGGTAATGACAAATAGAAACCTCGTAAGAGGCGAGATATCCTTTCTCGCGTGCGGCATCATCCTCGACTCCTGGACCATCAGCTGGCGATCCTAAATCGGTGGCGTCCGGATTAAAGAGCGTATAAGATCGTCGATAAGTCGATATGCCTAATACGATCTTCTCCGGAGAGGCACCCTTCTTCAAGAGATAATTGATAGTGTAATCCTGTAAAATTAATGAAATTAATAGTGTAATAGTGTAAATAGTGAAATTAATAATGCAGTCTCAGATACGTGGTACAACAACTTGAAATTCGTTTCCAGTATTGTGTCTTACGATCGTTAATTCGGCAAATTTTCTCACTGGCAAATTTTCACAAAACAAATATTGTCACTTTTACACTTTCCAAATTCACTGCCACTTTACATTTTACAAATCCACTGTCACATTGTACTTTGCAATTGAAAATTTGCATACACGTTTTTATTTGAATTGATAGTTCCGATCGGAATACCGTTCGCGGAACAATTCCACTGCCGCTATTGGATTATAAGTCACTTACACGTAAATAACGAACATATTAAAATATTCCTTGTTCGTTAAGGCACGCACCGTTCTGTTTAGTGACGCAATACAAGGCGAAGCCAACTGATCAGTCGCTCGAAGATTTTCTTCCAGGAAATCTTTCCCCACTCGGGGGA